GGTGTGACCATTCCTTCTGCTAACTTTCAAGTCACTGGACTTCAGTGTCCCTCATGCCAGTCAGGTGTGAAACCTGAACAAAGGTGGGTGAATCAGGGCTCCATCATTTAGTCTGAATGTTCAGCCAAGCAGAGAGAAGTCACTTTGACCTCAGTAAAAAATATCTAGCTAAAAATAAAATGGAAAGATATATGATTTCCCTGGGTCCTTTGCGATACTTTTTAAGATAAGGCATCATACACGCAGATGAGCCCCTTGGACAAACACACCATATCCTGTTGTTATATTACTGTGAAGGCTCTTCCTTACAGTGCTTTAATAAGGCATTGACCAGAATATGTAGCAGGAAGGAATAGGGAGCATTAAAAAAAAAACTATATTTTTCCATCGCATAAACTAATGTCTTCGTTTTCACTCTTAAATCAGAAGTTCAGAGTTTTTGCAGCACCATCTAGTGAAACTAAAGAGGTTTTACTCAACTTTTCAGAAACTCCTGTCGGTTCTCTCTTCACACTTCCATTTCTTTATAATCTCCATGATCTCCTTACAATCTATTGGCTGAAAGTCTTTGGGGCCAACAAGCTGTTGAAGAAGGTGCCCTTGGTGCACATGATATTCCTTTTTACGTTTCTTTCTGAGCCACACAAAATCCTACAGGTTTGGAAAGTGCAGAGCTGAAAAACTGCACAGCTTTCATCAAGCCTTGCTATTAAAGAATTGCCTCCTCGCTAGTGAGCTATGCCTCTGATCTCCACCTTGTTTTCAAAGGATACCTTCTGCAAGCACAGAGCAGATGTCTGTTTTATTTGATACGAAGACTAATCTCAGACATAGGCATACCTGTCAGTTTTCCTACCAGAAAGCATTACAGACGTTATTTTTTATAAGACAACATGTATATATTCAGTTCTCTGCCAAACACATGTGAGATTCTATGCATAATAGCCTTCCTGGCCCAAAGATATGGCTGGCAAACAACAGTCTGTCTGATTCCAGCCCGGTTAAGATGACGATCATCTGCTTTTCCTAGGCTGCCCTGTCTCTTCACAGTTTCCCCGAGCCTAATTAAGGATTAAAACCGCTTTGCTTTCATCATCTACTCATCTCCGGTTAAAAGATCCTGAAGTATTTTTCATCTAACTGACCCAATGCGTGGAATCAGAAGTATTTCAAAAAAGATTTCCCATGCCACCTCTTATAATAAATATTCTTTCCAGGACTTTCTTTTTGAATTCTTATATGCCACCAAGACCTGTACATCATTGACACCAAATATAATAAAGGTTGCTAAATTACCTTTGCTATAGCCTTGCTAACACCTTGAAAGCAACTCACCTGCTTTTAACAGCACCTAGGCAAAACCATAATAGTTTTATATGAGCGAGTTACTGCTAGTCATTGTTAGAAAGGATGATCCCACTGTAAGAAGAGGGAAACAAAATGACACAGTTCACTGTATAGAAACTATAAAATGTCAATGTTCTAATCAGTATCTGCTGCTGAAATAGTCACAAAGCTGTACACCCTTTCCCCTGCTGCTTGAACCTGAAGGAATTTGTCGTCCGCTTCTACAAGGCCATCATTTTCCTCTGATAGGATTTCTTCCATTAGGTGATAGAGGTGGACTGCCTGAAGGGCAGCTCCATAGGTTTTTGCCTTCTGTATTTTGAGTACCTGAGTGTTTCTCCTAATCTGATAAAAGTCGTCCCTAGTGTTGCACCTTCACTGCCAAACTGCTGCAAGCTTGAGCAGAAAGCATGACTGGTTTATCTTTAAATCGCTTTTAATTGTCCTTTCTTTTCCTATAGACAACTTCTTTTACAGAATTTCTCTTGGATAACTGCATTGCGTAAGGTTAATCCAATCCATGAAGTGCAAGGGGAGGAGAGAATTCAAAAACACTGCTCAAAGGAGACAAAGTTTGTCTTGCCATTCAGGGAGCCTCTTAGCTAACAGCACGGATATACCCAGAGAGTCATGTCTCTTACCTGCCAAGGAACAAATTCAAAACAGCTTAGTTAGAACTGTGAAAAAGATTTACCAGAAACACCTGTTTTAAAGATTTCAGGTTTTCTCACAAAACTGAAATTAAAGTATGAAAAATTTCTCACTGAGTGATTTGTAACATGGCCTGACATTTCATCTCCGGGAAAATCATCTACCATTATGCAAAAATTATTCTTTTCACTGTAGAAAATGAAGTCCCATTTTCTTACGATTTTGCATTATTGCCTATAGGTATCTTAGTAGTAGTAGTAGATCATCCTTTCTGAAAACAGGAGTTTCTGGAGGCAGTGCTACATGAGCTGGAATACGTTGATAAGTACCAGTTAAAATACGTTAGTGATTTTATATGTAATCAGTAGATATATTAATTGCTACCACCCAGTGGCTCATCTGTATTCTTTGGATCACCATACTATAGTTTAATACATCGTTGTTTGGTTAAATGACTTCATCCTTCCCATCCGAAGGAGTGTAATTTATTTTCCTCTATCAGCAGCGACAAAAAATAAATGTTTCCAGCTGTCTTAGAGTCTATACAAGCTGTGGTTGGCTTAAAACAAGCTGCCTGCAAAAATCTTTTCCTCGCATGTGTAGTGTGGGAATAGCCTCGTGGAAGGTAGCATAATAATGAGTTTCAAGCTAAATATATGCAATTACTTGTTTTGCCTGCTGGATCTACTGTTGAAGTCCAAGGCAAATCCTTTGTCCTGTTTAAATGATAATTATTCTGTCAGAACTAAGCAGCTATTCTCCATGTTACATGGGGAATTCAGTCCTGCAAAGTGCTAATAGTTCTGACCCTTACATATCAAGTACACAAACAGGTCTAATCTGCAGTCCACAGACAGTCCAAGGTAATCATGCACTTGAAGATACACACGTGGCAGAAGGTTAAGCCATTGCAATGGCTTAAATGGTTAAGCCATTGCAAAAACCAGTTTGCAATTTGTCTTGCGTACCTGTAGCTCCACTGTTCCCAGTAGAAGTCACAGGTTCTCAGCACACCTCAGGACGTGGCCTGTATAACACTGAGGTGAATAAATTGGCTCTTAAAACAGAGCTGCTGTGTTAACGGCTTCTACAATCTATATAAGCGTTATGAATAATGAAACAAGACCCTGGCAATGACAGCACATTATTGAAGAGCTGTTAAGTGCTGCATTATGATTTCATTTTAATGCTGCTTCTGGCTGAGAGAGCTTGCATGCCTCTGTGTTAGAAGAAGGCAGGAGAGAAGGGAAGCTACTTAATATTCTTTCTTGTTGACCTATATTTTGAATTTAGCTGCTTGTTCAATTTCTAGCACATTATTTCCCAGAAGGTTGACCGTTTAGGGGAATATTACGCTAGCTTTAGGTTTTGCGCGCTGGGAGGTCTTGTTGGGCTAGACTGTAGGCTAGACTTGCTGGACTAGGTGCCAACAGTGAACGAGAAGAGAGAAAAATAATCCCTTTATGCATTCCTGGATTACCCAGACCTCGTTTGTAATCCCACAAACCAGGGCTGTCTACCACTATGTTGGACACAGGTGAGGGGGGTAAGTGCAGCGAAGGGCAGAGATAAAAACAGGCAGAGACTCGGCTTGAAAACAGAAGTGACTGTAGGTAAGAAGTAAATTGTCTTCCTACCTTGTCCTAAGGTAAGAAGAAAGTAGAGGAAGAAATGCACCTCCAAGTCCAGCTCCTGAGAAGGTGCAGGTTGTGCATCACCCCTTCAATCAGTGTTTCCGTGCCAAAAAATCACTGTCCCTTTTACAGACATTAGTGGGAGCACTGCAAAGTAAGGTAACATTCTGCAGCAAAAAAGATGAAAGAATTTAGCCTCAGTGCTTTGTAGAAGTTAAATAAATCCACTGCAAGAAATTCAAACTATCTAGAGGTTGAAGTGGAGGAAGATTTTACATCCTTATAAGGGACTGCTGATGCTAAAGCACAGAACGGGCACAGGTTTAGGGAAAAACATTTTTTCCAGCAATGACAGTGGAATCACTTCTTTTAACTAAAGACACAAGGAACGAAATCACCTTTACTGCTCATCAGTGACCAAAAAAAATTTTGCTTCCTGCCTGCAAAGCTGTTCACCTTTGACGGTACAGAAAACGGCCAATAAATCACACGGTAAATGCAATTTCCGCCTACATTTTTAATAATTCTTCACTCCCTGCATGAACTTCAGCTGCAGGAAAGACAAAAACTGTCCAGAGCTTAACAGTTGAAAGTGTTACAGTATCGATTTCCCATAGAAACGGGAAACCTGGTCACAGATCCAGGTTGTGCTTTTTTCTTCTTTTCCCCAAACAAGACGTAAGACCAAAGCAGCGCATGCTGGGAAGCTGAAACAAGACAAGAAATGTCAAAAACTGATAAAACTGATAAAAACTGAAGCAAAGTAGAAGCATGCTTAACTTTTTAGAACACAAGAAGAAGTTAAAAAGACATAGTCAGAAATTGTTGAGGACTTCAAAGTTACTTCTTCACCATGCTCCAAATGAATCCTCTTTTCAACGTCATTCCATACTGTCCACCTCATACTCATGTTTATGGATCTGTCCCTTTAAAATTCCTTGTATTGTGGTAGCTGAATTTCACCAAATAACACTGAGTCTCATTTACAACCAGACCTCTTTCTTGAGAGGAGAAATGTGACAGGTTATGCTTGCATATATAGATGGGGAGACATAATGGGAGAGTTCATGTGTATGCAGGGTGAAAATAAGGAAAGAGGTACTCTACCATAACTTTCCACACTTCCAAGTGTTTCTCATGAAGTGAAGTGGAGTTCTGCTATTTAAGTTCTTTCCTCCTTCCAAGTTCAAACAAGACAAAAACATTTCAAAAATTATTGAGTTAGAGCCAGACCTCTCAGCTTACCTGTTGGCCCAGGAACTGGATTCTATAAGCTGTTGGATGGCTGTGCTTGCTAAAAAGAAGGAAAAAAAATTTCCTCCGGTTTTGTGTTTTGGTAATAATGTTCTCTGTTTCTGTTTTTCACAGCTCCATTCAATCCTCCCAACACTGCAGACAGCACAGTCAAATTTGATGCCTATGGAGACGGGATAGGCCGATACAACGTGTTCAATTTCCAGTACACCGGAGGCAGATACTCCTATGTGAAGGTTGGTCACTGGGCGGAAACCTTGTCACTAGACGTAGACTCTATCCACTGGTCCAGGAGCTCTATCCCCGTTTCCCAATGTAGTGACCCCTGTGCTCCTAATGAGATGAAGAATATGCAACCGGGAGACGTCTGCTGTTGGATCTGTATTCCTTGTGAAACCTATGAATACCTGGCTGATGAATTTACCTGTGCAGACTGTGGGCCTGGAAAATGGCCCACGGCTGACCTGACTGGCTGTTATGACCTACCAGAAGATTACATCAAATGGGAAGATGCTTGGGCAATAGGTCCTGTTACCATTGCATGCTTGGGCTTTATTTGTACTTTTATGGTCATTGGAGTGTTTATCAAGCACAACAACACCCCCCTGGTCAAAGCGTCTGGCCGTGAACTGTGCTACATATTGCTCTTTGGGGTCTTCCTGTCTTACAGCATGACCTTCTTCTTCATAGCCAAGCCTTCGCCAGCTGTCTGCACCCTGCGTCGCCTGGGGCTAGGAAGTTCCTTTGCTGTCTGCTACAGTGCCCTCCTGACAAAAACAAACTGCATAGCTAGAATATTTGATGGTGTAAAGAATGGCGCTCAAAGGCCTAAATTCATCAGCCCCAGCTCTCAGGTCTTCATCTGCCTGAGTCTCATTTTGGTACAGATTGTGGTGGTGTCTGTGTGGCTTATCTTGGAGTCCCCCGGTACCAGGCGGTACACTCTTCCCGAGAAGAGAGAGACTGTCATATTGAAATGCAATGTCAAGGATTCCAGTATGTTAATCTCCTTAACATATGATGTAATCCTCGTAGTCTTATGCACTGTATATGCCTTCAAAACAAGGAAATGCCCAGAGAACTTCAACGAAGCCAAGTTTATCGGTTTCACAATGTACACAACGTGCATCATTTGGCTGGCCTTTCTCCCTATATTTTATGTGACATCCAGTGACTACAGAGTAAGTTTTTGGCTATGTGTTTCCATAGATTGTGTGCATCGCTGCAGAGAACCCTGTAGTCATTTACTAAAAGCCTCTTTTGTTCTTTTGTCCCCTGTGTCCTTTGCAAACAAACTATTTCAATGTTAATGCCCATCAGAGCGAATTGCCAAAATTTCGCTTTACTTCTAAGTGGTCTCATTTTGAACTGTGCATGCAGAGTCAGAGGTGGAAGGGACTAGTGCTATATAGTAGGTTTAGTTGTGACAGAGGCAGAGCACATGGATGAAGTATTCATACTGGTGTATCAGTATGCAAAGTCATAATTCTAACAGAAAAAGCTAGTAGATCATGAGTTATGAGTTATTATGAGTTATTTGGTGGAGGCAGACCTTAAATGAAAAACTGAAGCGACTAGTCCACTTCAGCAAAAGAACCTGCCATTCAAACAGTATTTTATTCCAAATAAAAATAATAATAAGGAAAGAATTTCAAAAATTCCTCTTAAATAGTTCTTAAAAAAAGAATTCCCAACAAAAGTTATGCTTTAATATACAACTCTTACTCCTTCTCCACATTGTATAAGATAAAATAATTTGTAAGTGAGCCAAAAAATCAGTCAGCCTTCACTAGCATGCTTCAAAGAAAAACGATTAAACTATTTTAACTTCTAACATACTGTTGCAAAGCTTCAGGTTCAATAAAATTGTATTTTTGGATGGAAAAAATTATCTCAGAAAAAAATTACAGTCTACTCCAGTGGAACTCTTACAGTCATTTTCATGTGAGAAGCGGCTGCTGAAGTTATCCCTTGCAGCAGTTTGTACTGAATTGTCACCTTTCTGCCCAGAAAATATGTAGCAGACTAACCTAGGGCCAGTATTATTACTGATAGTATGCATGTAAAACTGGGCAGTTAATAATGTCACCTAATATACTGTTGGTGTGACCACCCTGGAATACTATGTTTAGTACTATTTTTCTCAGCCTAGGAAAGGTACTGAGAACCTCAAGAAAGCAGGGATGGTTAACAAATGACACTGTAAGACACAGAGAGTGACAGTGAAAGAGCTAAATATATTTAGTCTAGACAAGAGTAAACCCAGGGAGGCGTGATCACAGACTATAAATAATTTCAAGGCAACACAAAAAGAGAGAAAGGAATTATTCAGTCTCAGGAGAAGGTAGGATAGCGAGTAATGGCTTGAGGCTGATGAAGGAAAAGTTTAAGGCCGGCACAGGGGAAAAGTTCCTGGCACTCAAAGTATTCGTGAAGATGGACACAGGAGGAGTCCTGCACTGATAATGTCGGTGCAGACGGTCACATGAGTGGGCAGCACAGTCACTAATGGCCTAGGGGTATGACTTGCCTGCTCCAGCAGCGTTTTTCAGCCCTATCTTCTGGTAAGTGGGATTTTCAGAAGTTGCTTTGATTGAATTTAAATGTAAGCTTCCAAAGTGCATATGGTAGCAACTCGAGTCATAGTGAGTTGACAGAAAATGAGTTTAGTCCCTTTTCTGATACTTTCATGACTCGTCCTGTGTTTAGGAGCTTTTTGAAAAATCCCATCCTAGAGGTCTGCACTTCTGGGGTTCCTTTGAAAAGCCCAGATTTAATGGGCTTTAGTTCAGTGTCCCGTGTTGACTATGAACCAGTCTGTGTCATCCTGAGGTAGACCAATGCTGATGGCATCACCAGGAAAAAGACATCTTATTAACATAACAGTGTCAGCAAAAAAAACGTAAATGTTGCCTGGCGCGAGATTTTATCATTAAGTACAAATATGGTTTAGGACTCACCTTTCTGAAAAGAGAGGGAGAGCTCGTGGGAAATGTAGTAGTTGAGGGGCGGGGAGGGGAGGCAGTAAAACATAGCATTCATCCTTACCAGCACTGCTGTGGAAATGTCTCTGTACGGACTCTCTGTGAAGGACACCAAACTGCATGTTAGAAATGTTGAGATGGCACATCAGTGCATATCCAAGATTCACCCACCAAACCAACCTGGTTAGTTAAGGCCTTCTCTCCTCTTGGAATTGGTTATGGTGAGGTTTTGCCTCTACTACACCCTTACAATTTAAAAAAAAAAAAAATCTGATATTTGAATGGAATGTCTTGTATTTCAGTTTTTGCCAGTTGTCCCTCTTCCTATCACTGGGCACCTCCGAGAAGAGTCTGACTTCATCTCCATTACCCTCATGGTCATATTTTTATAAACATATGAAACACTTCTCTTCTCCAGGCTGAACCTTCTCTTCCCCGGGCTAAACAGTCCCAGCTCTCTCAGCCTCTGCTCGTATGAGAGGTGATCCAAATCCAATCCCTTAATTGTTCTTATGGCCCTTCGCTGGACTCTCTCCAGCCAATCTAGGTATCTCTTGTACAGGAGAGCCCAGCACTGGACACAGCAGTCCAGATATGGCCTCACCAGGATTGAGTAGAGGGAAAGGATCGCTTCCTCCAACCTGTTGGCAACGCTCTGCCTAATGCAGACCCAGATACCATTGGCCTTCTTGGCCACAAGGGCACATTGCTGGCTCATGTTCAAGTTGTTGTCCACCAGGAACCCCAAGTCCTTTTCAGAAAAGTTTCTCTCCAGCAGTCTGCCCCAGCTTGTACTGGTGCATGGGGTTATTTCTCCCCAGGTGCAGGACTTGCCATTTTCCTTTGTTTGAACTTCGTGACATTCCTGTTTGCCCATTTCTCTGGCCTGTCAGTCCCTCTGAATGGCAGCACCCTTTGGTATATCATCCACTCCTCCCCGTGTTGTATCAGCTGTAAACCTGCCAAGGATGCACTCTGTCCTCTCCTCCAGATCATTAACCGGTTAAACAGTATTAGCCCCAGTATGCCCTGCTCTGGAGGACACCCCTAGGAGCATCTTTCATCCATGCAGGTTTCTTGCCACCTTTGCTTGGCTCCTCCTTGGAAGAGGTGATCCTTGAAAATCAACCAGCCCTCCTAGACTTCTCTCCAGATCAATATCCTTTGGGAATTTTCCAAGCAGATTCCTGAATAGGCCAAAGTCTGCTCTCCTGAAGTCCAGGGTTGTGAATCTGCCTTTTGCCTTGTTCCCTCCTTTCAGTTCAGTTCCTGAACTCCACCGTCTCATAGTTGCTGCAGCAACAGCTGCCCCCAGCCTTTCCAATCCCTACCAGTCCTTCCTTATGTGAAAGTATGAGGTCCTGCCAAAGTCCCTCTCCTTTCCATCTCCTTGGTCACCCGTATCAGAAAGTCATTGTCAGTGCTCTCCAGGAACCTCCTGGATTGTTTGTGCTTTGCTCTGTTTTCCTTTCAGCAGAAATCAGGGTGGTTAAAGGTCCCCCCGCGGACTAGGGCCTGTGAACATGAGGCTTCTTACAATTGTTTGAAGAAGGTCTCATCCACTTCTTCTCAATCAGCTGGTCTGTAGCAAACATCTACCACAACGTTTGCCCATGTTGGTCTGCCTGCTAATCTTGATCCATAAGTTCTCAGCTGGCTCATCATCCTCCCCAAGGCAGAGCTCCATGCCCTCCTGCTGCTCTTACATAAAGGGTAACTCCCCCTCCTCACCATCCTGACCTGTCCTTCATAAAGAGCCTATATCCATCCATGGCAGCACTACAGTCGTGTGAGCTATCCCACCACATCTGTAATCCAAATGAGACTGTAGCTCTGCAACTGCCCGCAAACGTCTAATTCCTCCTGTTTGTTCCCCATGCTGTGCATATTAGCATGCAGGCATGTCAACAAGGCAAACGGTCATACTGAATTTCCAGAAAAGGTATGAAAACTTCCCCTATAAAGCTACCCTGAAGACACTTCCTTATTTTTGTGCATACACAGCCCTGTCTTGTTGATTTAAGGATATCTCTTGTCCACATCACAAAGTGCACCCTTTGCTTGCCAACCCACTTTACCGCTTCCTCACTTGATTGTGGGTCATCATCTCCCTACCCTGTCATTCCTAGTTTAAAGGTCTCCTCACCAGTCTGTTGTTAAAGATGCTTTTGCCCCCCTTGGTCATGTGAATCCCATCTCTTCCTAGCAGTCCTCATTCCTCAAAAAGGGTCATAAAAGATAAACGCCTCTTGCTAACACCAGCTGTGCAACCACTTCTTGACCCACAGGATCCAGCCACTTCTCCTCGAGCCCCTCCCTCTCACCAGGGGTTTCAAAGAGAAAACCACCTTGACCCCCATGCCCTTGACCATCATCTCCAGAGCCATGTAGTCACACTTGGCACACTCCAGGTCTCCCCTAGCTGTATCACCAATGCCAAATGGAAGATCAGCAGGGAGTATTAGTCCAAGGCTGGGCAAGCCTCAGCATCCTGTCCAGACCGTCCTGGATACAAGCCCCTGGAAAGCAGCAGACCTCCCTAGACAGCAGGTCAGGTTGGCAGATGGGGCAACCACCTCTCCTTGCCCCCATGAGAGGCCCCAGGTATCCCTACAGCCCCAAAGCTGCACCCTCTTTTGGGAGCTTAGCTTCTGTTGAGTCCTCTCCTGTGCCAGGGATAACTGCTGCAGTGGGTGCTGGGGACCGTGTGGCACCACCACCGTTGCTAAACACACAAACACTGTCCTCAGCAGAGTTTCTCATGCCCTTCTGCATAAAGTGCCATGCAAATTGGCAAATCTGTTAGCTCCTGCACTTATATAGGCCTCTCCCAAGCAACTGCTGCAAAGGTGCCTCACCTTCCCTGATCAGGGACCAGTCAACTGGAACAAAAGCTCAAAGCACCTTTTTAGGAAAAATGGCTGACAGAGCTTGTTAGAAGCTGCTAGAGATTACTAGAAGTCACGGCCTCTGGTAGCTATCCTTTCCTGGCAGGAGCATGCACCCTGATTTTCCTAAATGAGCTTCCAGGGGTCCTCTGGCAATCCCAGAAGACGTTCCCAGAAAATCTAGAAGATACAGAAGCAGAGCCCAGAGGCTGCTGTGCAAACTGCTGTTTGTCAGCTGCCTCTGTTAGTTTCACTGTCAAAACTTCTAAGGAGAGCTGTTGGATAGCACAGATTTCTCGGATGTCATTGATTTTCATGCAGAGTTCCACACTGATTTCACTGAGGGATTCTCCTTCTGAATCAGAAAAACAGTGAAGCCTGGTACGATTTAAAAAGCGCACGCAAATTCATACCAGCTCCAACAGCTACCGCATTTAAGGCATTTTTCTCACCGGCACACCTTAGACAAAGGTTTAAGAAATGCAGAGGTAGCACAGGAAGGGAAACATCTAGTTAGACTAAATATCTAATAAAATCAGAGGTCTAAATTTCCTACTATTTAGGAAATTCCTACTTCCCATCAATTCTGCCCAGCTTAGCAGAGCTGGCCCTCAGCTCTGCCAACACTGGTGTCCATGAAGCCAGGTTACACCCCAAAGCACTGAGCTGGTCTGGGTTAAAAGTAACTGAGTGGGGTGGGATTATTTTTAACCGAAATGATTTAGCTGATTGATCACATAACAGTGTCAGCACAGCTGAGCTGCTCCCAGCAGCACAGACCGTAGCAGAGCAGGCTGGGGAGGAGGGCACTGTAAGTGTGAGAACTTAAATTGAAACTACTGCCTTGATGTGCTCTGGTTTTATTAGAAAACTCCTGGATCTGTTTTACCTCCATAAGGGCTGGTTCAAGACCCACATAAAATTGATTTCAGAGGCCTTTGGACCAAATGCAGAGATGTGAAGGAGAAAGTGCAATTGGAAGCATAAAAAGGGTCCCTTTCTCACATTGCCTATGTACAGTCTTCCATGATCCCTCACTCTGTGAGAACAATGCACCTTTCCGTGGAGCTTGCCACATGCTCCTTTGGTAAAGAGTGATTATTAATTATATGATCACATTAATTAAACTCACTGCTGACAAAGCACTTGGTGCTCTGTGTATATATAAAGCAACAAAATCTACTCCCTGCTCTAATTTTCATTTTGCAACAATTATTTCTGACAAGGAGATGTGAGGAGCATTCCCGTGGAAGAAGGCTAATTTCCAGGGACTGCAGGAGTGTAACTAAGGCAAAATGAGCCATGGATGTATAATTCAGATTAAGCAGTAGAGTTTAAGGCACTTTAATTCAACATCTTAATTGAGGAATCAGCTAGGAAGAAAATATATACTGAAAGTGAGGTAATAAACTGACATCTAGTTATACAAGTGAAAAAACATGAAGAAAGTTAGACTGTGCCGGTGAAGTTACACTAATAAATGTCCCAGTGGCAACTACTCTAGAATCCTGTAGCCTTGCAAGCAATTTGTTTCTCAGCCCGAGGAGCTCTGTCTCAAAGTCAGTGCACCTTTGAGACCATCTGGCAAAAGTCACCTACAGAAGTAAGCTCTTGTGTTTACTCACAGTCACACCTATATCTCTACAAGGGATTGTTCAAGTGCTCTGAATGGGATTGAGGCCCGAGAGTAAACTAGTTTTCAGATGGAGCCTGGCATGAGGCATCTAACATAACCCTTCATAAAGCACAGTACCTACAACAGGGTTTCCGCTGTAGCCAGCTTTGCCCAGTTGATGCATGACCGGCTTTATAGAGGACTTCCTGATCAATTTAGGAATTAAGGGGAATGGGGTGAAAGGGAGAAAAAGCAGAACTGTCCTTCTCCTGCTACATGAGAGAGCACATGCTCGCTTCAGCACCCTCTTTAGAGGCAACAGGGCACTGTCAGCATCATACACCTCAGCTGCGCGATCCTGGTCTAGTGGAAGATAGGGGTGAAATAGATATTCAAGACGGACTGTACCAATACAAGCCAATAAGGTTGTGGTTCCTGCTGTTACATGATGATGCTACTATTATTCTGTATTTAGAGCTTTTCATACTGAAACACAGCCCTTCGCGCCCATTCTCTCCTAGGTGCAGACCACCACCATGTGCATCTCCGTGAGTCTGAGCGGCTTCGTTGTGCTGGGCTGCTTGTTCGCACCCAAGGTGCACATCATCCTCTTCCAGCCTCAGAAGAATGTGGTCACTCACAGACTCCATCTCAACAGGTTCAGCGTCAGTGGGACCGGGACCACTTACTCCCAGTGTAAGTAACAAAACTGCCACCTATCTATAAGGATGTGGGGTTGCAGTGAGTTTGGGTAAAGTCAGAAGGAGGTTTTTTGCTAGGAACAAAAAGCCTTTTGTAAGCTGCGTTATGTACCCACTGGAAGCATCACTTCTTTTGTGTCTGGAGAGCAAAACTTGTTCCTCTCACATGGCATTCAGCTCAGAGCCCGATATGAAGCTCACTGAACTCAGGAGAAAGCTTTCAGCAGGCTCTGACTCAAGCCTGTATTGCAGAAAGCCCTGTCTCCCCCTGTCACCCTCATAGCAGCGAAAGGAGCAGATTGCCCTGGACTCCTGTCCCCTCGTCCCTGTCAGGACCGGGGCTACCACACAGCACACTCTCAGTGGGTGCTATTGCCTGGGTTATAAGAAAAGGCTCTAAGTCTGCAGCAAGTGCATACGAGGGATGCTGTAAACTGTTTCTATACACTGAGCATTAGTAGTACCCTTTGTCAGTGCCACAGCTCAGAGAAGCAATCAGCACATAGTTGCGAGGACAGTTCATCCACTCTGCCCTCTCCTTTCCCTCATCTTCTGTTTCTTCATCCCAAGCAGATTCATGTCTCTGATTGTGTTTTGGGACCGTCACTTTTTTTTTAATGTAAGTTGTTCGGAGATTTGGAGGGATAAAGGAAAAAGAGGTCATGTATATTTTTTTTCCTTGTCAAGCTTAACTTGGAGCACAGAGCATCTTGTTCACAGAGCTCTGCAGACAGCATGTCTAACCTGGAAGGCTGATTGAAAAAGCACACTACAACTAGAGAGAAGCAAGGAATAAGAAACAGAGGAAAGTGGGGAGACAGAGCAAGGTCTGCCAGGAAGATCACACTAACCCAGCCTCAGGCTTTAAACTGTGACCTAAATTCCAAAATTTACTAGAAATGTTTGGCATCTCAGGTATCAATGGGAAATGTGGGAAGGAACTGGGGATCTTGCCGTGTCCTCAAATTGGCAGGAATTAGGAGGATGAGGGGCCCTCATCTTTTTTTGCTTCTCCCATTCCAAAAGCCAAACTGTATCATGCATGCTACGGGGTCTCTTAAGAAGGGATCAGCCATGTGGCTCTGTATGTCCCCCATCTCATCAGAGTGAGGATTACATCCAGCCCTGACCCCAGAAATGAAAATCACGTGGTTATTCTGGAGAACTTAAACCAAGACAGGTGAGACAGCCCAAAGCATCAGAAGTGCACAGCACTCTCAAAAGGGCCAGATTTGCAAGCGTGTGGATTCCCAATAACCCTTTAGATATGTGACCCCTTGACAAAATGGTAAGTCTCATGTGATTATTTTCATCCCCCTATGAACACTGCATGAAGTGGTCTTTCCAATTTTTATCCCTCATACTGTGCAATAAGTTAAATCAGAAACCATTTTGATTCATCGATACTGTTGTATAGGATTGCATTTTGGAATTACATTTTATGTTAATGTGTGGATGTATTGTGTGTGTGTGTGTGTGTGTGTGTGTGTGTGTGTGTGTGTGTGTGTGTGTGTGTGTGTGTGTGTGTGTGTGCGCGCGCGCGCGTGCAACTGAAAGACAATCTCAGCACATATCTATAAATTGAAAGCCTACTTTTCAGGTTTATAAAAAGCTTTAAGACACTGAGGAAAGCATAAATATCCAGCCTTACAACATCTTGCTAATTCATTGCTTAGATCATTTACTTTCCATGCTTGCAACTAACTGAAACTGAGGGGCTTGTCCCTGCTGGTCTTTTCAAACTTTGGAAAGAGACTAGAAGGACCTGAAAGGGAGACTAAAAAGTCCGCTGTATACAGTGGGAAAAGCCCAACTGCTACCTTCTGGGAAGATTATTTTAGCAAATAACACTGAGAATGCACTATCATAGCACCATATTTTTAAGAAGGCAAACTTTCCCTCACTCCCTTCCATTTATTTGTAAATGATTTTGAATAAATTTTCTTTTAATGCTATTTCAACTCTTCAGTCATTCATAAACCTCCAAAAGGGTTGTCATCCAAATTGGTTCTAATAGATATCATGGCCTTTTCCATGCCTGCTATAATCCTCTTTCATTGTGCACCCCTTTCATCACAGGGAATATTCCCTTGGTGGCAGTAAGAGGACAGTGAAAGAACATGAATCTCCACACAGCATCTTTCAAAAAAAAAAAAAAAACCCTAAAATATTGCTCTTATCAATCCTGGGACTGATGACTTGTTTTTCTTTTGATCTTGATGGTTTTCATCAGTCACAAGCTGCTTAATGGAGACTGACCAGAATTAGCTGCAGGCTATTGTAGTAACAGAGACATCTGAAAAGCCAGTTGTTGTTCGTTATCGTAAGGGCAGGAGTTTACCTTTAGAAGCTCAGTTGCTTGAATGGGCGCTATGTTTCCTACCTTGATGGATTCCCACCTCTGTTACATTTCAAGGCTACCGCTACCTCCTCACTCCCTCATTCATTAATGCTCTAAGATACTCTTATGAGCAATGAGCAGCAAGTTACTCAGAGGTGGTTTTACCCATGGCTCCTTGAACCATGGAAACTGGCCAAGCACTGTGAGAAAAGGTCAGAAAAGCTCAAGATGCTCTCAGGTAGTACTAAGAGTGTTAGCTCCAGGAGTGCATCACGGCTACATCTCTGCATTGAGTGGTGGAGGGAGGGTCTGAGTATCTGCTCAGTCTCTTGAGCTGCAGCATAGTAGCAGTGAGGACAACTGAACGAAGTCCCATCATCTGAACACAGAGCCCCATCTCTGCTACATGCTCTGCAAAAAGCAAGTAGAGGTGAATATTCGACTGCTAAGTGAGGAAACCTGATGTAAAGGCACTGAACTTTGATCATTTAGTCAGGTGAAGTTTGGACGACAAAAGAATATAGCTATAAACTGAAGAGAGGCAGGACATATATGTATCTAGGTATATGACAAGTTCTGGAATGTATATAACCATGCAATTTATTTGCATTTGAAAATTCACCTTTGGCTGTATAAATTTTGCTTCTGCGGCAGTGCCTCTCCCCATGAGGATATTTCCTCACTTTCCTGTGGCCTGTTTTGTGGCCTGGCAGACATATTCCCAGAAGGCAGGAACTCAGCACGCACTACAGGTCCCAAAGAGCTCAGCATTGATTTAAGCACCTAGATGATTCAGGCTGAGCTTTTACACCCAGAAGGTGTCATTCCTCCATGTTATATCCACATGGACAGCTGCACACAGGCATGAGCTCCTCCAGAAGTGCTCCACAGGGGTCAGAAAAAGAATTAAAGCTACTTTTTATAGCCGAGCTGGCATATATTCCCTCTCAGTAGCTTATTTGCCCAATTCTAGCTCCAAACCAGTGTAGCTATACAGCTTTTATATACAGTTAACTCACAGCTGTCCAGCAATGAGCATGAGCAGAGGAAGCAGCACACAGGATAGCAAGTTTGAGACTGCGCAGAAATGCTGCAAGGTGCCCACAGCAATGCTGAGCTCTCACATTTTCACTCTGGTTCTGTGCCCAGGATTTTCTGAGCAAAATGAGAGGACTGCTGGGAAAGAGGAGAGGAGAGCATGAATTGCAGCCAAATCAAGATTGCCGCTTGTGTCACACCTTTTGCTTTGGCATAAACACAAGGGCAAAGTGGAGGTGAGGTGTCGCTAATAGTTCCTGCAATCCTTCACTTGGCTGCAGCTGTAAGGCACGATGTTGAACTCAGGGCTGGTATTTAGCATTGCCGAGGGGTGAGGAAAAGTAAGATCTTTTGTTCAGCCAACAGATAAGAGCTGGATGCTTTGTGTGGACGTTTTCCTTCACTCAGCAGAGCTAATAGCTACCTCTCAGCATTACAAGAGGAAGTATGTGCTGTGAAGGTAAGCCTGGGAACTCAAAAGGCAAGGCTGCTGGCTTCTTGCTTACTGCCATGTTCTCTGTCTAACTTTGGTGTCCCCCTGACCCAGTTACCGTGGAAATTGAGCTATTCATAGTCTTCAGTGTGTTGAACTTCACAGAACCCCTGAAGCTAAAATAATTCTGGATGTGTGACTGAGATACACAGAAACTAAATGCTTTTGCCCTTAGTCATGCTGCAATAGCATAGGGGTTTGAATCAGGTCTCCCAAGCAGTACTGATTTTCAATCTGCCAACAAAAAGTAGTAGTAGTAGTGGTAGTAGTAGCAGTGGTAATAATAATAGTAATATTTACAAAATTATCAGGTCAGTGTCCTCTCAGATTACAAGCAGGTAAAAGCCAAATACAAAACCTGATAGTTAACATTCACAAAACCTTAGACATGATGCCCTTCTATCTACAAATAACTGATTTCAACATATCCAGGTTGTGAGAAATCAAGCCCCTGCTATCTAATTCAGAGCAGACGGTCATTCTTAGCTCTCCTGTTTATCAGGAATATGCCCTGCCCTCTGAGTAATAGTTTAGTCCAAGGGTACCTCTAAATTTCTCTGTTAAAGCAGTTCTGCTTTCCATGAAATATTTACTTGCCCAAAGAAAGAATTAGAATTAGTAGCTGATTTGAAGAAAGAGCGATCTGTCCTGCAAATGATGCTGAGTGCCTTTACAGAACTGGTCTGCAGCTGAAAGGGTAGCCAGCACCCGTTGTGGAAGACTGAGCGTGCCCTTTTCAGCCGCATAAACTACTTTTTACACTGGATGATTGAGTTTGCTAAGTCACTGCACTGCTTGCTGTGTGTTTTCTTTAATGAAGACATCACATTTCTCTGGGTCACTGTTATCATTAACCTAATGTATCTTTCAGAAAACAGCTTTATGGTGCTGTGAATAGAGATGTCACAGAGTATCTGAAAACACATTCCAGATTCCCAATGGATAATTGTAACAAAGATGGACAGACCGGTTTGCTTTTAAAATTAAATCCACAAGACTTTAGCAGAATAATAATATATTCTACAATCAATATACAATTGCGTTTAGAAACAGATTCTTATACTCAGCATCACATTGTCCTATCACTGAAGCAATGAAAATATTTGCGAATAAAGTATTAGGCAATGTAGATAAGGGTGTCAGAATCTGGCCCTCACCTCTGGAGTCATATTTAATCCTGATCCAGAGATCCTAGAAATCAAGGGGCTTATTGGCCAGAAAACACTCAGGGATTAGATGAGAAATAACGTTGTTTGCAAATTCACAGTTGTTCAAAAACGTCTTCACTCACGTGCACTTTTTTTTTTTTGATTAAAAAGTAATGCACAGTCAATGCACAGTCCTAATGTGTAGAAGTGGATTCTCTCCTAGATTAAAAAATGCATGTGTTTCATTTCAGGAATGTCCATTCCAATTAAGGAAAGCTTGCAGAGTCTGACCTTAGTATTTCATGCCATTTCATGAAAAATCCAAAGGGTCAATTTTTATTCTACTAAGGCATCTTAACATCACGCTGGCTAAACTATCTCACACTACCGTACAAAATCCAATAAAGTGAGACCCTTTGGCCCAGTATCATCCAAAAAAAAAGTATGCATTTTATTTTGACACTGTTGGAGAAGCTTCATCACCCTACCTAGCCTCTCCCAATAGTCAGCAAAGAGAAATCAGGTTCCTCCAGGGGATGTTTCAGCCTATCCAAGATCTGACTTGCCTTGCAGAGGTGCAGGCGGTACCTCTATCAGCTCCACTGCTGACATAGTCACCTGCAGTGATTCTTCCTTACACATCTCAGGCTAGGTTAGATGATCCAGTTAACCCAAATGGGAATCCTACATGTTGTTGGGGTTTTTTTGCCCACCCCTAAGGTTGGTTGATTTTCCCCTCTCTTTCTCTTTCAGCATCAGCTAGTATGTATGTTCCCACCGTCTGCAATGGAAGGGAGGTCCTGGACTCCACCACCTCATCCCTGTGATTGTGACTTACGGTTCAGTTCTTGAGTTTTTAGACTGTTAGGCAAAATTTTGCACATGTTGTGCACGCTGAAAAACACAAGAAAAACACAAGAAGACAAAACAAAGCAGTACCTTTTTTTAGAAACAGTGTAATAAATTATTTTTGAGGATTGTACAGTATATAGTGATGTTCTGGAACTTTTTAGACTGATTTTAGCCCTTCTGTTGTTAACGATTGTATGGGACATGTAAATAACCATGTAAATAACCATGGTTCACAATGTGCGTAGTCCTGCAGTAAGAGAGTGATTTGTTGCAAGCACAATTGCAATGTTAGGTGACTTCTTTCCTACCAAATTTTTTTGTAGCTCCTTGTTGTAATTAACTTAGACTGCATTTCTATGTTGTATATTACAGTTACCTTACGTGTAACAGATTGGTTTTCTCAGCACAAAACAGCACTATTAATGTAAAGGCACCAATAATAAAAAGGTAAAAGTTTTTCAGCATGGTTTCATTTTTGTTTCTTCTTTCCTCAAGGTCATATATTTATGAGAGGATTTCCCTAGGGTAGGTAAGGAGGATAAAGAGACTGCAGTATTTGTGTGCATGTAAGTATGTACAGTGCGTGCCTGTGCTACAAAATCTTCATCATGTAATATGCACGGCCCCTCCTTGCTGCTTATGATGAATGCTTCATCAGGGCTAGGTATAAGTTCCTTCTCCTTTAGGAAAAAAAGGCACATTATTAAAGCATCTTAAGTGATCTTTTATTATTAAGAAATAGAATTATTTTCAAAAGTGAAAATATTTTGGAGAACTTCTTTATATTTCTGTTTTTATGACCTAATTGTATCTCAATGAGATTTGTTTAAATAATTTACTCATTTGCCATAATATAATGCTTGTCAGGCATACCAATAGACTGCTAGAGTCTAGCAGATTTTAGATTAGGTTGGCAAAGAGATATCAGAAAATCTGTGAGAAAATTGGCTAAGACTCTTTATACCTCCAGCAACAACACGGCTGGTTCAGTTTGTCTGCATCAGCAGTGCTGTAAAAGGTCTTTCCGCAGAGATGCAAGGACCGGGAAAAGTCACAAAAGAGAAATCCACTAGAAATTTACACATCTCTGAAATGACCTTTGCATTCCAACCAAACAATTCAAGACACACTTAGACAATCACAAATTAACTTTGAAGTCTGACTTTAAAACTGCGTATTGAAGGCTTCCCTCATTTCTATTGAAACAATCTGAAATCCTCTGTTCTGCTGGGTCCAATAAGTCATTAAGGAAACAAACACACCTTTGAATAATGTGCTTGGGCATATTTACCTAAGGACTCCTTCCTATTGATCTCAGTCCAACTGAGGTCAATAGCAAAATTCTCATTGACTTCAAAGACAGCATCATGGAAGCTTGAAAGGCAGAGACTGAAGGTACAAACTGCTGGAAGTACAGGTTTGCTGGAGCCCAGCTCTACATGCAGACTTAGTTACACATTTCTGGAAAGGTACAAGTCCTTAGGGCAGACCTGGCAAAGGAAGTAGATGTTATTTTGAATGCCAAAACTAAAAGGACGTGCATTTTTTACTGCTACTCAGACCTAGCTGTCTAATTTTTCTGAACACCCATGTATCCACCAGGAAAGATCTCTCTGTGTCTACACTTTTGCTGCTGGCTGCACACGTACCCATTTAAGACCCAGCAGCATGGAGCTGTCTAGTACTGAAATTCGTGTAACATTCCTCAAAATCGACATTCCTCAGCCCATGTTATGTGCAGAGCCCATCACTCAGCTTCTTTCACACTACAAGCCCTGCAGCGCCGAATGCTTTTGGCTTGGTTCCTACCTTCAAACACAGCATGAGGGTCAACTTTTGGCAGGTTGGGCATCTTGCTTTCTAAATCAAGACCCTTTAAAGCACCTCAAATTTGGCAGCTACATTAGTCTGATAATGCATGATCTTTTGTAAATTAAGACACTATTCAAAGTATGGCAAAGGGTCAAAAATATCTGACCAGAACACTGATATCCCTGCATCTTCAGTGTGTTTATGGAGCTCTTAAAAATACCCAAGGCAAGGAGAATTTCTTTTCAATTTTTATGGAAAACAAGAATCAGGATTGGATGCATCTCATGTAGCATTCACTCTCCACAATATAGATAGTTATATATGAGACAGTCAGCCGCTTCTCCCTTTGTACTCAATGGAGAGAAACAGCCCGGGGAGGCACATTCCCCCTGAATGATTTTAGACTGCTGCATTAGGGTGAGGTGGGTCATTCCAAACACAGCTAGCTCAGATCACAAAGTTTACACTGAAAATAAAAAAATTGTGTCAGATGAATTCCACTCCTAAAATCTAAATTGGCATCACTGAAGCTAATTTACAGCAGGTGAGGACCTACAGAAAAGTAGGTAAGTCCTTTAGTTTGGTGGATGTGAAAAGGCAGATGCCTAAACTTTTTTCCTCATCACCCTTACTTCTCTAATGGGCAGGTTACCAAATCTGAACAACCATGCATGGAGCACTACCAGAGTACTTCCAGGGGAGGGGAGCCTCACACCCTGTTTTAGCAGGTACTACTGATTCCCTTACTGTATTCAGTCATCCTGATTAAACTTGTTCTGCCCAGTGTCACTGTACAGAAAGAAGAAATATTTACTAACATGAAAAAACACTAAGAAATCAGACAAAACGTTTTACAAAATGTTGTATAACCTACATTACAATCACACCGGAGCAAAGAGGAAATATGTGGGCATTTGTTTTTGGTTGTTTTTGTTTTTACTGTTGTCTCATGTCATCGTTTGAGCTTCTCTGTTTCAAATAGCTTATAGTTTTAGTTTCCGTTGGTATAAAGCCTGGTCTTAAAGTATAGAACTCTCTGGTCTCTTTAGGGCTTCCATCATAAGTAACGATTTGCCTAGACAGTTCACCATGGCGTATGGGAGGCCCTAGCATGTCCATCCTAAAGGGTCAGAGCACCACTCTGAATGCTACATGCAGCCAGGTGGGCAGAAATGCCGAGGATGAGAGCAAGTCTTAATCCAGCTTCGACGATGCCTCACTGCAAGCTGCAGAAAAGTTTGGTTGTTCATTCAGAAGTCATAATCTCAGACCACTTTAATTCTCTAGTACGAACCAAGAGTACAGAAAGGTTTGTGCGTAACTGATGATTTTGTATTTATTGGCTGAACAGTCAATCCCAAATAAGCAAGTTTTTGTTGTTGTTTTTGTAGAGGAGGTGTCTGTTTTTAAAGCCTTGACTGACTTTTGAAGGCAAAAAGATCCACTGTGGTAAAACAAAAGATTTTATTTTGTCTTCAAGTGATTGTTCTTCCTGAATTAAATGAATAAAAATGGTTTTAATCAAAAGCCAAAGAAATTTCAAAAGGAATTATCTTTTCAAATTGAAAAAGTCTAATGTCTGTTTCAAAACCGTCAAAATCAAAACATTTTTGTCTCCTCTTTACAAAATATCATGTTCTCCCTGAACAAAACAGTTCCAATAAATCAGTGCAATGTCCAAAATACCCTGGCTCCACCCAAAAGTCTGGGCTTTGGTTAAAAAGATTCCTGC